CCGCGCAGCGACGCACTGCGCGAGTGCTTCAACTGCGGCGAGCAGGGCCATCTGTCGAAGGAGTGCCCGGAGCCGCGCAAGCCGCGTGCCGAGTCGCGCGAGCCACGTAAGTGCTTCACGTGCGGCAAGCTTGGCCACTACGCGCGCAACTGCCCGGAGAAGGAGGGCGACGAGCCGGTGGAGCGTGCACCAATCAGCCAGCGCGTGGGCGGCGCAGTGCGGGCCAAGAAGACCGTGATCTGCCATGTCTGCAAGGGGCCGAACCACTACGCCAAGGACTGCACGCTGGATCCGAAGCGCTGCTACACCTGCAATGGCGTCGGCCATCTGGCCAGGGATTGCCCGCAGGGGCGTGAGCCGCGGGCTGCGTTCTCGGACCGCAGGTGCTACAACTGCCAGCAGTCGGGCCATCTGGCCAGGGACTGCCCCGAGCCGTATGATGGCGACCGGCGCGTCGGCGACCGCAAGTGCTTCCGCTGCGGAGAGCCCGGCCACTTTGCCAGGGAGTGCCCGAACTCGGACGAGGAGTAGGCAGGGTGCGTGGTTATTTGCTGGGCACCTTTTTAATCCATGTTTAGCCGATAATATATGGATCAAGTGAGAATCACTCGGCAGTGCCGCTTACCTGGCTCGGCGGCCGTTTGTGGGCTATATGCATCATACTGTATCCCGTGCTGGAGGCGGCTTCTGAATACATGGCGGCCTACATGATACGCTTTCCGTTGGGGGGTGCAGGCGGCAGTGTGAGAGTGAACACAAGAAATTCTGCTGCAGTATTGGCTGCTGCTCACAATGTCTCGGTACGCTGATGTCGCTCCAGTGTGGAAACTCAGACAAGGCTGGTGAAAATCATCTGCATAGGTCATGCATGTCTCGATGACAACCTCCCTCCTGTCGCACGGCAACAAGCCCCCTTGCCCCTCCTATCTACTGCGAGGAACAGGGCCCCAGTTCTGTATTGTCCCGTTACCTGGCCTACGCCTTGTCTCCCGCTGTTTCCACCATGCGAGTCACTCCGAAATCGGCTCTGCCAGCTTCGCTCCATGCATTTTCAGCGACATATGCATGCACCCTGGTTATAAGACAAACGGGTGTATGCACCACAGAGTGCTGTTGCGGAAGCAGCGGCCTTCTATTCGTCCTGCTTCGCCTCCTCTTGGCCGTTCAGCACACGCACGGAGTGCCAATGTACGTGGTGCCGATCGCTGCAACACGCAGCACATATATATGCACGTCAGACAATAGTCCATGGCGAAGGAGGAAGGAGGACGCGGATCAGGGCGTGGTTTTCTTCAGCCCTTTTTGAGCAAAAGAAAAAGTAATTTGCAGAATAGCACGCACCAACAAATCCCCCTGTCTCAACCGCCCCTCAATCGGCACCCTCAATGTCACCTGCTGGCCGTATGTCACGTTGGCATAAACTCCAAAAAAGGAAATGACATATGCACCATTTTCTTATAGGTGTCGCCGAGTGAGAATTCCGTGCGAGTGCTCTCCCAGCCATACAGTTTTCTTTTAATTTTAGCAGCTCTACAAAGGCAAGCGTGAACGGAAAATCGTGCTGGAATTGCTTCCTCTCCTCTTCCCTTTGCAACGACGCTGCTACCACGTCCCAGCCATCACAGAAAAGCGGGCTTTTTGTCTTGGTCCATTGTCCTTGTCACGCCATGCATCCCATTGGTCCCTTCTCCCCACTTGATAACACCGGCCGTAGTCTGAAAACGTTCTAATTCGCTTTCAGCCTTGCGTCCTGGTGGTTTGTTTCGTGGCGAGGAATTCCTCTCCTCTTTGCTCGGTCAACCGAGGGTGCATGGCACGATGCATGCTGGCAAAGGGCCGTATAATGGCACTTTTGGGGGCGGTGCTTTGTCGATGGCCTATGAAGTTTTACAAGAGGCATGCAAATGGAGTGACAGAATCTCCGAGTGGGAAAAACTGTGGCCGGGTGTACCCGGATATGACGGGCATGCGAGGAGCCTAACCTGCGTTTTATAAAAACAACAGTGCTCAAACGATCTGCTGGGATTCGTTCCTTTCCAGCAAGAACTCTGCAGGATCTGGCACTGCCGGTAGGTCATACATAAGCAGAAAAACACTGGTATGGTTCAGCGGATGGTGCCTTTCAGAAAGGACATCTCGGAGCGGTGACGTTGAAGGACTTCAGGCCATAGAGTCATTGTACACACCCCCTCCCCTTCAAGTGAACAGAATGGGTACTTAAATAGAGCATTGGAAGAGATAGACAATATTCACAAAAAAACTACTACATGGGAGCAAGTGGGAGACGACTTACTCCATCTCCTTATCCTGGTAGTCCTGCTCAGCATTATCGACCGCCATGGTCTCAGCAGCAGGCTCGGCAACCTTGCTGGAGCTGGCGACAGCCGCGGCATTAGCAGTGGCTGTCGCAGCAGCCAGCAGTGCTGCGTTTTTCTCAGCGGCCTCCGCCTTGAGCTTAGCGGCCATGATCTTGCCCTTGAGGTTGCAGAGCCACCGCTGGCGGCACTGCAGGTTGGTGCGGCCCGGCACCATCTTGGAGACCTTCACCCACTGGCGCTCGTCTCCCCACTTCTCGACGGCCTTCTTGAGCAGCTCGTCCTCCTCAGGCTGCCATCTGTTGGCGGGGCCGCGGGAGCGCTTGCCGTGGTAGAAGTTCATGACGCCGTCCTGCTTCTGCGGCGCCTCTTCTGGGTAGTATGAGGGTGGGTAGGGGTGCGTCATGTTTCCGGTGTTCAGCGGGGCAAACACATACCTCTCCTGCGGGACATTCACGCTCGTATGGAACGCCATCACCGACTCTTGCCCATGAACCATCTGGTGCATGGTCGGGTGCTGCATATACGGGTGGATGCGTGATGGCTGGGCGTAGTGGGCCGAGTGTCGCTGGTGGAGGTCGATGGGGATTTCACGCACATCGGCCTGGTGGTGTGGAAGCGGCGCTCTTGTCAGCGTGTGCATAGGCTGCATCTGGGGAGGCATCTGCATCTGGTGGGGTGGCATCTGGTACTGGGGCGGTACCATCTGGTGCTGGTGTGGCACCTGGTATGGTGACACCTGACGCGGTTGCACCTGGTGTGTCTGGTAATGAGGCGCATAGGGGTCAGGGCTGCTGACAGGCGCTATGCCAACCGGAGAGCTGTTGTGCGACATGGGAGGAGAGGGCTGGCAGGCGTACGGCGACCGTGGCGACACTGTCCCCTGCTGCTGGTAGCCATAGTCTGGTGCCTTGCCTTTCGGGCCACGGATGCTGAGCTGGTTGAATTGCGGGCCGAGGGTGTCGGTGGGCGACAGAGAGAGTTCTGGGCTCGGCAGCTGCTTGACTGGCGACAGCTTGTAGCTGCTGCGCCTGGACATCTCGGCCTGCTTCTCCTGTTCCCCTTCTCCTGCTCTCCTTGCTCCTTCTTGCCATTGAGCAAGAACTCCACCGAGATGCGGTTGAGATCCGCTTTGTGGCTTAGCTTCTCCTCCACCTTCTTCATCACATCCTGCCGCGTCTCCGCCGGGTGGAACTGGTGGTGGGGCTGGGGGACAGGCGACAGGGCAGACGCGTGCTGGTGGTGGTGGGGCGACCGCCCCAATCACAGGCTGGCCTTCATTTCCCGCTCCTGGCGCATGAGTATACATGCTGCTATTGTGGACAACTTGGGTGTTGGCAAGATGAACGCCTGGCTGGCCACCACCGCCATTGTTGATGGTGCCACTGCGGCAATAAGAATTGCGCACGAAGGATGCGACGAGCTTGGGCATTGTGACGATGAAGAAAAAAGGAAACCCCGAGATTCGTGAAAAGGGATAGAGTCCGAAAGTTTAAATAAACGCTGGAATATCAAGTCAGAAATGTAGTCTGCCAAGCTGGCAAAAAAGTAGACGACAGCGCTGGGCCGCGAATATTGGCTTGCGAGTGCGCTGGAGAGGATATCCTCAAGAGAAATGCTATCGAAAAATATATATACCTACGCTACTTGGAGAGGCTATAGCGGAGCTAAAGATTAGGAGACAGAATAGCAGATGCCAGAGTGCCACCAGTATATGAGAAAAGTACAAGCTAGAAGAGTGCGTTGGCAAGAATAGTTACAAGAGAGTTGTGAAGAAATATAAAAGTAACTGTAGCTAAAAGAGGGTGCGAAGAAAAAAAAAAAGACGGGAGGGAGGTGAAGAACAAGCAGCAGAAGGGTGGGCAATGAAAGGAGTTTAAGAGAGCGACTAGTGGGAGGAGTTGTCAATTACAAGTGTAGCAAGAATGGGAGACTTGCAGGACAAAAAACTGGGCATCCATCCGACCATGTATTTATAATTTTTGTGTAAATAGGCAAAATAGCAGCCGATGGGCACAGGCGCGGGGTGGGAGAGGATTACTTTACACATCATTTGATGCGCGCGCGCCAGATGGCACGGAAACCAACGGTTTTTTTTCGCTCTCAGAACAGGCCAAGTCGCTGAAACAAAAAGCGTGAATTCGCGACGCATTCTTCTTTCTTTTTTTGCTAAAGGCCGGGAAGGCCGCGTCAGACAAAACGACTCAGCGTGTCCCGATTTGGAGCGCAACAGGAGAGAAAAATACGGCCATGGGCGTCCTCAGCGCCAAATTAGAAAAATGCTACGCTGATTTGGTGCCTGAGCAATGCTCTCCAACATTTCCTCAACCCGCCCCGCCAACCACCCCTAGGTGCGATTTTCTGGTTATGTTGTGCCCTGGATGCTCAAAATAAACAAAAAAACAGGCAAGGGGGTGGTCGCGAGGGCCATGGGGGAGGGCTATGTCCCGCTGCCTGGTCGATTTATCACTACTTTTTTCGCTGTCGCCAAAAAAACGGATACGCGCATTTACATTGGCTTGTTCACAACCCCGATAGCGGGGGTACACTACATATCACCCACAAGATAGGGCAAACAGGAAAATCTATTGGGCATTCTGGTCAGCGTTGCTGCGGTGCAGAAAAACCAGCCCAGCCATCGCTGCTTTTTGTTTTGCTCATGGCCACATTGCATGTGAGTCCATCGGATTAGCGTGCAGAAATTGCTGATTGCTTATCTACCAGGTTTTACACAAAAATGGTTTTATTAAAAACAGGACACCGAAAAAGAAGTGGGAAAAGAGGGCTTGTAAAAGCGAGTTCACAAGGGAGGGGGTGGTGTTGCGGAAATTGTACGCGGCGAGATAAAAGGAGGAAAATGTAGCCACACGGCGACACGGCGCAATTTCCCACTGTTTAGGTCACAACATCCCCTATATCTCCAGTGTGCCCAAACACACCAGCACAAAAGAGAGAAAAAAAGGAAGGATGGCATTTAATTTATGTACGACTGCATATGGGACCTTGTTT